TTTCTTGAGAGTCCCTAGGTTACATAAGAGCCTCTCGCATCCACGTGAGTTTTCATTTTGCACTGACGTTACTTTCCTGGCTCTGTTCGAGAAGGGAAGCAGCGCTTGGCTCAGGGGTAGTCAAAGAGCTAAGGTTGGTGGGGACCAATCGAAGAAGGCTTTACTAAAGAATGCTCATGACGGACAGGGTTGGAAGGTTTCAAGTAAGCATCGCCAACTGGCCCCTTCTCACCCCAAACAAGGAAAACAAAAAAGTGTTTTAGGCTAAAAATATATGTATTTAGAAGGTCTCTTCGCGCAGGCGGATGGAGTTTTCCAGCTGCCTGCCTGGCCCCGGGAGAACTTGGCCGCGCAGCAGCCGATTACACCCAGCTCTGTTGGGATGGCTCCGAGCCGTCTGCCCTGACGTCAGCGAGGCTCTGGGCCCCGCTGTGGCGAGATAGGAGAGCGCAGCCGGGCGCAGGCGCGGCACTAATCACTCCCAGATGTCCCTAATAGCAGAGATAAAGACGGACAGAGAGGCCGGGAATAAATTTGTAATCAGGGCTCTACCATCTGATCATCAAAGCGGCCGAAATGCCGGGAGAAATTTGGAGGGAATGTGTGTGCAGGGGATTGGATGCTCGCGCTCCTGGAGGAGAACTGGCCTGGCCAGGGTGGAACGTTGAGAACCCGAGAAGAAATTTAGAACTGCGCAGGAGTTCGGGATTCTGTTACTGTTAACTTCTCTAGAAGGCCGGCCGGCCAAAGCAGCTCAGCCGTCATAGGCTAATTAGAACTGGGGCAGACAGTTACTGTGCAATGTAGCACACCGGCTGGGTGGTGAGGCGGCGCTTTTAGAACTGTCCGGCCCCCGGAAACGTGGGATTGGTTTCCTCTTTTGGAGCGGCCCCCTTCTTCCTCTTTTAAACAGTTAAAAATACCTAATGCCCCCCCGCCCCCCGATAATCTCCACAACAGCAATTCATTGCCTCGTCGCGAACCTTTTCGATTGTTGGGGTCTCCGATTTCTGAACCCCAGTCTGAGAGCGGTTTCTGGGATTTTTCTTTCTGTTCTAGAGATCCAAGGGCTGGGACTGGACTGGAGAGAATTCTCGCGTGTTCGGAAGACTCGTTAGCGCCCTCTTCTCGTGCGGAGATCTGGGCCGGAGGATCTGACTCCCAGAGGCACCGGTTCTCCCCAGTTAAGATAGCGTGACTGGATGGGTAGCGGCTAGGGCCCAGATTCAGCAGTCTATGGGGCTTATGCCACCACAAACTTCCTTCTAAAGCCAACTCCGTTTTGCATCCACCGGCCAAACTTTCTTCCAACTCCGAGTACGTAGACATAGCTCAAGCACAGGGAGAAGCAAGGCGCATGTGAAGCGACGGTCGAAGAGAAACCCAGTACCCGTGCAAACGACTTTAGAAATAGCACAGGTTTAAAGACACAGGAATAAAGGAGCCGATCCCTGCAGTTTGGAGACCCTCTGTTACAATGCAAGTCCAGACTTTTGTGGTATCCCTTACAGTTTGCTGTTCTTTTGAGCACACTTCAGGCCCTCGTACCTGGCCCAGGTTCTCCCGCTCAAAATCTCTCAAGAAGAGTCCCCACCCCCTGCAGTTTGTAATTTTGCATTTGAAGTCGTTCTCAATTTCCACACCTCTTCTGCAAAATCTGAAATCCTTAACTGCCCTCTGCTTCTCTCCACCTACTTTGCAAGTGCAGGTGGCTAGTTCTGAGATTCTAGCTTTGGGGCAACAGCCAGCAAGGCCACAGGTGAGGGGCGGGGACTGGGCCACCTCTCCACGTGGGATTCCAGCAGACACATTTTCGGAGGGTCCCCAAGAGTGTCTTCATTCATGAGACTGCTGCATCCATTTTCATCCGTGAAATCAAAAGCCTTTTACCGCCCAGAAAGGCGGCCTAAGACCCGAGGCCCACAACGAAAATGCTGCAGCCAAGGGCCTAACCAGAGCTCCCTGACTCCCTACTTCCTTAGTGTGGCCCTGGGGCGGAGGAGGCAGGCAAAGTCCCCCCACCCCCAGTGACCTAGCTGTCATTTGTTACCCTTGCGCTCTGGAAGCTGCTGTCAATGCTCCTCTCTTGGAAAAAGTCCTGGAAGACTGAGCTGAGGAGAATACTGAGGTCCACTCTGAGACTCCGAGAGAGAAAGAGAGAGAGAGAGAGAGAGAGAGAGAGAGAGAGAGAGAGAGAGAGAGAATCCCTTGCTTGCAGACGCTCCAGGGTTATCAGACTTTCGTCCTGCGTGGAGGTCTGGGGCCAAACCCTGACAGCCAGATCGACCATCAATTCACCTTCCGCGCCCCAGCTTCCCATTTAGCTTTTAACGTCAAATCCTACATTTTTGTTGGCTCCGGTCTGTCTAGAACGCTTGTGAATTCGCTGCAGGAGTGATTGCTCTTAACAAAATGGCAGCAAACACATTATCAGAGCAATTAAAACAGAGGCCTTTTAGCCCGTCCCACAAGCAGGAGCTTGGGGTCTTTGCCCTCTACTGCTTTTAAACAAAGGAGAAAAAGAGGCGTTTTGTAGACGAGAGAAACATGGGAAGTACAGCAGAAATCCTGCTCACTTCATCGCTTCATCAGGGTCTGACAAGGCAAGGCAGGTTTATTGGGCGGCTAGGGATGCTGGGAACAATTGAGATTCGGGTCTGAGGGAAGGAATAATCTGTGTTCTGCAGGTTGAAGTGTCCTCCTAGTTCAGAACTGTGGCTCCTTAGAGGAGCCACAACTCAACTGAGGTGCTGGAGCACCCAGGAGGGCTTTCTGCTGGCTGAAGTATTAAGTCAGCTGGATTTCTAGCCCGCTGGGATTTCCTGACAGGTTGAAATGGGAGCATGCATTCCGTGCCAGGACCTAGGACTGGTAGGCTGGAGGGAGAGAAGGTCCTGCAGCTCAGTGGCCTTGGAGAGTCAAAGAGGGTGGATACCTAGGGTGGCCATCTAAAGAGAGGGGGATTAGTAAAACAGGAACACCTGACAGCACACCAGGATCTTCTAGTTCCCTGAGCTGGTATTTAGTAAAACAGAAAATGTGAGCAAACCAGGAAAACATTAAGACCCAAAGAGAAGCCCCAAGCAGGCCCAGACCCAGGCTCCCGGTGAAGATAAATGTCTTTAAACCACCACCCGTTCCTTCGCTGGCCACTCTCTTAGTCTCCTTTCTTCTACCTCTAGAACCTGTAATCTTCCTTCTGAGCTGCTAAAAGTAAAGATGCTGTAGACCTTTGCAAGCAAAAGGAAAGAGTCACTTGGCCAAACAGTCAAGAGCTACAGAAAACCTGGGCTATCCCCCCCCTTATAAACAAAGGCAAGTGTCTGTAAACACAGCCCCTCGCCCACCAGGTCGGCCCAGCGCCGGCTGACCTAAGGGGAGAAAGTTCAGATCGCTTTGGCCTAGTTGTTCTAACCCTTCGCCCTTGTGTTGTCAGCCATCCGCAGAAGTCCGAAACACCACTCAACCCGCCCCCCACCCTCACCCACGAAGGTCTGGTCAGGCTAACTGCAGACCACCCCCGGTCAGAGAGCCATGGGAACGCTCAAAGGTCTGTGCCCAAAGGCAAGGTGTGAACATCACCTCAGGGATGGCTAAAGACGGAGACCCTTTGGCAAGGCTCTACGGCACCGGATTTATACACACGAGTTTCATGAAACCAACCGGTTTAATGCGTTTCATCTTCCGTCTCCCTCCCCGAAATCCTTCCCCTCCTCCCCAGCTCTCCACCCCTAAGAGCCCCTTCTTAATAGTACTCTAGTTTCTTTGATTTCTAGAGCTAAGAGCGAAGCTCTGTCTAGCCAAGCCCTCGCTGGGAAAAGCAGGCCGCAGGGACTTTCTTCTGGGGTACAGGACCCGGACACAGCAAAGCCCGGGACAGGGTGAAGTTCCCGACGGCTTTTAGACAAGGGGAGGTCGCCACTTGCTCTGGCTGCAGCACCGAAGACTTCAGACACCGAGCAGTTAATATTGAGTTCCCTGTAGCTCCTTGTAAATCTAACCCAACCTCTCGCCCCCCTTTAAATCTGTGGTCTTGTTCGCGATTTCTTACTTGACGTAAAATTCCTTGTTACCTAATCATAGACTCTTTTTCAAAAGACTCCCCTCCCCCATCGCCACCACGCAGATGAGAATCTTCTGATCTGGACGGCAAGCAAAACCCCCTCCTCTCCTTTTTTCTCTCTTAAAAAAAAATCTTGGATGAAAGCCCTATATTTTGAACTAAACGCCCCAGACTATTTCCTGTGCCTGTAATAAGGCCTGGGATACTCCTCACACCTCCACAGAAAAAAAACACGCTCCCCAAACACAAAACGAAGCACCAGGCACAGGGCTTCCGATTGATACCTATAAAACAAGGGCACCCTTCCACCTTCTGCACCAAGCACAGGCCCTTCTCCCTGCCAGACACTCCTAAAGACCGCTCAGAGGTCTTCTGAGAGGCTCAGGAAGGAGAAAAGAGATACCACTGGATGGAAGACCAGGCCTTTGGTCTGGCTTTTCACCGGGACACTTCACTTTAATCAGCGCTCCTTCATATAGGAAGCCTCAGGTCACATTGATTGATTAGAACCACTGACTCTTTCAAATGAAGTTGGAGGCAATTACGATAATTTAGTTTACTTCTGAATATTTTAAATATTATGAAAACAAGTATAACAGCTTTGTTTTCAAAATTCTTTTGAGGTATCACCCATCTAAAGATTAGGTTGTTTTTTTTTTTTGTAAAAAAAACACACAGTGGTTTATTGAATACTCACAACGTTTACACCTTCAATATTAATTAAATTCCACTTAGTTTTAGAGGACGGAAGTGCACAAAACAAGTAGCTGGTGGAAACATCTTCGAATGGGGAACAGCGACATTTGAAACGACAGCACTAGATAACTGACCCGCAACAGAAATGTTAGCGGCCCTGCTTTCTGCTTCCAAATAAAACTTTATAACCCCCAGGAATATTTATATCCAAAGGCCGAGTATTAAAGATACACTTCACATATGCACGAGTGTCCACTTCTTTATCTGGAGGGAGTTGGGTAAGTGGGGGAGGGGACAACGCTGGTGTCTACACAGCCAAGAGGGAACATTCACACACAGAAGGACGGGGTCCCTTACCACACGGGAGTGTCCTCTTCATATTAAAATATGGAATGCTTTTCTTCAAATATCCACTTTTTTTTGGAGAGGGAGTTGGGGAGCGGATGTCTCAAAGGGGGCAAAAAATGGGGGAAGGAAATTGCACATAAATAAACCGGATGATCCAACTGCTGGAAGTCCTCAGAAGGGAGTCCGAGGTCTTTCGGAGAGTCCTGGGTCTGCATCTGGCGCCTTGACCCGGGGCTCCCCAGCTCTCTTCCTCCTCTTCACTGCTTGAGTTCCAGGGCCCAGACGTGCTGCGGCCAGCCTGTCCGGCCTTTGGTTTTCTTATCGTTGCTGCTCACTGTGCTTTTCAAGATTTCGTTCTAAACAGAAAGAGGGGAGAGAAATGGAAAGAGGTCAGGGAGGATACCTGGTCCTTGTTACCTTAGCCTTTCCCAGGCTGGAGGACACAAGTCCAAGAACTTAAGAAGGGGTGACTCCGGGTACCGGCCCCAGCAGAAGTTAGGCAGGTTTCCTGTGTTCGAGCTACATCCCAGGCCTCCACTCGCAATGCTCAAGGGCCCAGTCGCAAGTTTATAAACAACGCCCGATTTCTAGTCGTTTGCAGGGAAGTCTAGGGTCTTATTTTCCTTTTGACTGCTAGGGAAGGAGAGGAGGCAGGGGCCGGTGCTAAATCTGCCTTGCATTTTCAATAGCGATCCTACTTTCAAAGCGACCCCACATTCTGGCCTGGGCCTCTCCTGCCAGGCAGCAACGTTTCTGTGCCCTCTGCAGTTCGTCTCCAAGGCCCTTGAAAGCTCTGGTTTTTTGGAAGGTCATTCCATTACGCAGCAATCAGAGGGCTTCGAGCCACAAAGGAGAAAACCTCCACAAATGGAATTGTTTCCCAGGTTCCTACTAACTGACCGGAGACCTATCCCCAGCACCATTTCCAGGCAGTTGGTAAGAACATGAGAACACTTTAAATGTCTAGCATAAATTCGTGTTAGTGTTAATAACAATGACCACAGTGCCTCCTTTTTTTAACTCTTAAAATACTCATCCAAATAAAGTAAGAAATACTCGTGCCGTACAGCGCTTGGGGAATTACGGTTTAACATTACAATCAAAGAGAAACTAAAGTTGCATTTTTACGTTCAAGGTACCTAATGTTTACTGTCACCTCTCCCGTGCCATAGTAGTGTGAATAAGCATAGCATTTTCTTAGTGTTGGAGCCAGAGGCAGCCTTCGTTTTAGAGAGGGGAATGTGATCAATAGTGAAATAATTGGAACCCAGAGATCATTGACAACTTATTATAGAAATATTTAAAAGAATGCTTGAATTGGAACCAAAAGATAGCTCTAATGGCCTCAGAATGAGGGGACCGGGTCGGTGCGACTGGGAGATGGGTCAGTCCCTACAGTTTAGGAGGCCGGTTCTAAATGGCTAGAGGAATAGAGAACCTCAAGGTAAGACCAGATACTCCGAGCAAGCATCTAAACCTTTCTCCTCCGGCCGCTGACATCCTCTCGTCTTCCCACCTTTTGCAGGAAACCATCCCCACCACAACCTGGTGAAAACAAACTGGCGCACAGCGCACCCAAAGAATGCGGTGTGCAATTTCTTAACTTTACTGGGAAGACCCGAACAGCGGTCCTACGAACCCGGAGCCCCTCACCGCCCCTGTGCCCCAGTACTGACCAGCTCTTTCTTCCTCTTCTCCTCTTTCACGTCGGTCTTCTTGATCTCCGCCTTGAAGGCCTCCGCCTCTCCGTTCTGGTCGTCCTTGGCCAGCAGATCCATGAGGTAGGCGATGTAGCTGGTGGCCAGGCGCAGTGTCTTGATTTTGGAGAGTTTGGTGTCGGCAGGCACATTGGGGATGCACTCCCGCAGCTCGGCGAAGGCGCTGTTGATGCTCTGAGTCCTGCGCCGCTCCTTGCGGTTGGCGGTACCCCGGCGCTTCACCGGGCGCGGCCCCCCCAGGCCCGGAGGCCCCGCACCGGGCGGCACTCCCCCATAATGGGAGTGGTCCAGGCCGGCGGCGCCGCTGGCATACTCTGGGCTGTAGGACAGGGCCATGCTGTAGTCGGGGGGCGACATCTCCGGATGGCCAATAAGCCAACCGTGGAAGTAGGGGTTCTCCTCGTGGCTGCAGCGACTGGCGGCTGCGGCGGCAGCGGCGGCGGCGGCGGCGGCGAACGGATAGCCCTCATGGTGCACCACGGGGTGGTGGGGAAAGCCCCCCACCAGACTCATCTCGCCTTCCGTGGCCCTCCACGCGCCCCAGCGTGCGCGCAG